AAACCACTGAGCTAAATTCCCGGCCCCAAATTGCCTAATTTTATATCATATCAGCAGTTAAATGTAAAAGATGGGTCCTGTATTTAAAAGCTTGTTGATGTATTGGTTGTTCACGTATTTTACACATCTAAAGCATGCAAAAACACATGAGGTTCTGTGGTTTCTGTAGTGTAGATGTGATCACATTTGCCTGTGATATAGATAAAACAGTCTTTAATACTTGTCAGTTTAAATTTTTGAAATGCGTATCACTTTGTATGAAAGTATCTTACCATGACATTTAGAAATTATAATTATATTTTAATAAGTGTCTTTTCCAATGAAAATAACTTATTTTTTCACAAACACAATTTGTTTTCATGCCAGTGTATATGAAGTATGCATTAATCTTAACATTTCTATGTTACAGGTATTTTTTGCTTTAATGCTGACACCTCTTTTTAAAAAGTCAAAACATGTGGGAATAGTTGAATTTTTTGTCACTGTGGCGTTTGGATTTGTTGGCCTTTTGATAGTCCTCATGGAAAGTTTTCCCAAATCATTAGTGTGGCTTTTCAGTCCTTTTTGTCAGTGTACTTTTTTGATTGGTATTGCACAGGTAGGTAATATGTTAATCTTGCATTCATCAATATTTTTTCCTCTCAAGTTGTATGCAGCATCTTATACTACTTAAATATGACCTGTGATTTGGTAAAAAAAATTATAACTTTATTATAATAAAGAAAAGAAGTTTCACTACTAGAGTACATTTAATGTCTACTTTTTTTTATATTTCTCTGATTTTAAGTTTTTGGAGACCAGCCTGGGTTACACTGTCAGTTAAATGTTTTAACTTCTTCACTTTTTTTTGTTGTTGTTTTTTTTCAAGTAATCTGTTTTGATATAATAACTCAGTTTGTTAGAAGTGATTAGTTTCAATGGCAAGTAATCTAGATTGCTTTATTGCTACCATTTATAAATTTATTTAAGAAGAAACAAAAACGTGCATAGAGTAGAACAAATTTGTCATGAGTGTAGTAGTAAAATAAATAGGCCTGGTGGATTTTATTGGTCTAGACTTCATGGAATTGCCTTACCTGAATAATGTTTGGATTTATAAATTTAATTTTATTTCTCTTATAGGTGTAGTCAGGTTTTAAGTGAAAGAAATGTTATAAAAACATCTTTATATACTAGAACATAAAATTGGTATAAAGTACAAGGAAAAAAATACAATTTTTTTTTTGGTACCGGGGATCGAACTTGAGTCCTTGCGCTTGCACAACAGGTGGCGAAACCACTGAGCTAAATCCCCGGCCCAAAAATATAATTTTTAATATAAGAGAAATGCTAATATTGGTTGACTAGCATATTCTGGTTTTGTGAGACTAAATTAAGATAGATTGTTTATAAATACTAAGTTAAATTTTAATTACCTGAAGCCAGGTGTAGTGGTCTCAAAACTGTAATCCTAGCACTTGGGAGGCTGAGGCAAGAGGATTTCGAGTTCAAGGACAGCCTAGCTACATAACAAGACTAGCCTGGACCATATAGTATAGCAGGTCTGTGTCTCAAAAAAAAAAAAAAAAGACAAATAACAATAAAAAATAAAAATTTTAATTGCTTGAAACCTGGGAGCAGTTATTACTCATTTTGAGAGTCTACTGAATCCCTCTTTTCTTAAAAAGGTAGAATTACAGGTTCATACCTATATTTCTGTTCTGAATGGCAGGGCCTTTCATATCATTTAATTCATCTCTAATTTCACAGATAAGAGGACTGAGATTCAGAGTGGTATAAAGGTTATTCACATAATGGCAAGGCAGAACTTAAATGAGGCCTCAAGCTCTAGTACTCTTTCTATTTCTCTTTCAACTTTGTCACATATTGCTATCAAGAATGCTTTAATAATTGCATTAGTTTACTAAAATTCCTTTTTCAGTATTGGGGAGATACTGAGCACAATTTTGTCCTATAATGTTTGATTTGTTTGCCTTCCATTTGGGCAGTAACCCTTTTGTTTGCTTTAGTTTCTGTTAACATCACATTGTACTTTTACTTCGATAGTCATTACATTAGTACTAAATGTCCCAGAGTTGCTATAGCAAAGTTTAAAATTACAGCATTAAAAACATGATTGAGTTCTGCCGCCTGCCTCTCAAGCGCAAGGTCCTGAGTTTGATCTCCAATGCCAAAAAAAAAAAGATTGAAATGAATTTTTGTGATAAACTTCTGTTTGGTGACATCTTGTTTTCTGATAAATTCATATTACTGATGTATTTAATCTGTTAAAAGGCTCATTTTGGTTACACAAGATAAAATGAATAACACTAGTGTTAGCTTCTGCTTTTTCTCACTATAATAAAGTTGGTGTTCCTATATTTTAGGTCATGCATTTGGAAGATTTTGATGAAGGTGCTTTGTTTTCTAATTTGACTGAAGGCCCATATCCTCTAATTATTACTGTTATCATGCTGGCACTTAATAGTATTTTCTATGTTCTCCTGGCTGTCTATCTCGATCAGGTCATTCCAGGTATGCTGCTGGTTACTGAATTTTACTGTAAGGATTTTTAGGGGTTTTTGTCCACGTAGGGTCAAAATACAGGGTTAATTTTTTTTTATTCTGTAGAGTATCTTAAGTTATATTGATAAGACTTTTAATTTGATTTTGAATAAACATATTTTAAACCTTGGGTTTCGGACAGTAGTGAACCTAAGAAGATGGTGTAGAGAAAATAGTTTATTTTGAGACACACATCCCTTGCTGAATTTAACTCGTTCCCTACTCAAATCTTTTTAAGAGTCTTTATTGTTTTTCCCTCTTAGGTAAAATAAGATTACTGTGAAGTAATCTTGTAACTCCTACCACTCTTCTTTATCTTCTGTCATGCATGTATAACCAACTTGTAATAGTAATACTAAACATTTAATACCTCTTTCCTTTTCCCTATGCGTTCTCCAGTACTTAGTCCTGTCTTTAGCTCATGTAACTTTTAAAATTAAATAACAATTCATTTCATGTCTTTATGATTAAAAAACTGTTTTTCAGAAATAATTTGTATAGCTCAGTTTTTAATTTTTATTTTTCAGGGGAATTTGGCTTACGGAGATCATCTTTATATTTTCTAAAACCATCATATTGGTCAAAAAACAAAAGAAATTATAAGGAGTTATCAGAAGGCAATGTTAATGGGAGTATTAGTGTTAGTGAAATTGTTGAGCCTATTTCTTCAGAATTTATAGGCAAAGAAGCCATAAGGTATGATTTAATCTTTGGCAGTTTAGGTATAAAAGCTGTGATGGAAACTACCACATTTAAATTGTTTTTGATATGTTTGTAAGTATGGTATCTTAGATTTGGTAGATAAGTATTTTTTTAAAATGTAGTGTTAGTGTAGGCTACTTTTCTTTAAAATTCTCATTTTCTTAGCAAAAAATTATCAAATTTTTATAAAATCATAACAGTAATAAAATCCAGTATCTATACAATTAAACTATTTATACTGCTGTCAGTTATGTAGACAGAATATTCTGCAATTTGATTCATGCTACATTGTCTTGTATAACATGTTAAATTGTTTTAGTTTCCTAGATCTTTAGTGTTCTGTGACAAATTAGAATAATACTTTAATTTTTAAGAACTAAAAGAATTCATTATTATTCCATCCTATATTAGTTGATTCCAAATTTAAGAAAAAATAATTAGAAGGAAAAGAACAAATTGAAAAAGAGTGAAGTATAATGTGTTTTTGTTTTTTGTACTGGGGATTGAACTCAGGTCCTTGTGCTTGCACAGCAGGCGGCAAAACCGCTGAGCTAAATCCCCAGCCCATGTTTTTTTAATTTAAGAAAAATGTATAGAAATAAGAGAGTGTCAAAATACCTAAGACATAAGCAGTGGGACAGTCATCAGCATTCTGAAAGATGAAATTTAAACTGATTAATAAAATCATTAATTCTGTGTACAAAAATTTCATGTGGAGTGAAACAATCACTTCATATTCATGGACAGTTTGATAGGTGGACCGGCATGAAGTGCTATTCAGTTTATATCCCTCTGCTAATATTACAAGTATTTTAGATAAAAAGAAATCCTTAAATTGCTTGAATCAAATGCTTCTCTTATTTTTAGAAGTTGACTTAGCATGAAAAATAAATGAATGATACTTAAAATGGACAGGAGAGGAACAGGGCTAGGAATGTAGCTCAGGGGTAGAGTGCTTGTCTAGCACAGGTGAGACCCTGGTTTTGATCCCATCACTACCCCCCAAAAAAGCATTATATAAAATAATGTTGTGTGATACTATACTTACTATCAACTTTCTTTGACTCCTTGTTTTAGTAGGAAGATACTTTATTATTCCTGCTAAATAATGACAGTTTTTTTATTCTTCAGTTTTGATACAAGAATGCCAATTTTTGGGGGGACACATGACCATAAAATCTTTTTTCCAGCCAACCTCCTTCTCCCCCAAAACAAAACACAAACCAACATTTAAATAACTTATCTCAACGTAGGAATACAACCCTTCTTTAATGCTTAGAAAGTACCAAGTTTTGCTAGAGATACACACTCAGTTCAAATTTTATAGCATATATTGTAAGATAAGACAACTTTAGAAAAATTAAATAATAAATACATTTCTTTAAATACTTTTAATAGAAAACTATGTTTTTCA